TTGCCGCTTCGTTAAACTCATCATTATTTTTTATTATTATTTAGTTTAAGGCCTGCACTGCTTTTCTCTGGTATTTTAATGAGGCATTTTTTTTCGGTGGATGCGTGCGGGTTTCTTGATATGGCTTGTTCTTTTTACTCTTTGGATGTTTTTCATTATTTACCGCTCATTGTTACGCTACGAGGGTGATATACCAGATTATTGTTGGTTGGGTAATATACCAGATTATTGTCTTTATTTACTACCTAGAAATTACGATTTAATACCAGTACATAGCCGAGCACTATCGTTGTGAGTTCTTTTTGGTGATTCCGTTGCATTTTAACGGTGTGGATCAGATTGCAGGGGCATCGTACATGGACATTCACAAAGCCCGGTTGTTATTAGTGCTGCTGTTAGTCTGTTACTAATTTTTTATAATTTCGATATATGCTATATTTATATTTCAATATAATTTAAATATACTTCTAAACCAAATTGCAAATAACCTAAGATTTCCAAGTTTGTCGTGCCCGCATCGACCGGATGAGCGCATCGAGATCCGTACCGGCATCAATTCCGGTACACCGTGCACGATAGTGGCATACCTACCTATGCAACGCATTACGCAACACAGTGAATTTGATTCTGTTGCTGCACTGTACAGATAGTTGCCGGGATTGTTGGGCTGAGAATGCCGCGATACTGCCTGTAAGGAGATGCGCCGTTTCTTGTGTCAAACGTGATGTCAAAGAGTGTCTTCGTACAGTGTGCAATCCCCGGGTGTAGATGCACTTTAGAAGTTTATGAAACAATCACTAAGATTAATTAAATGCCCAATAAAATACTGTAATGTATCACTAGATCCTTTGCGGGAAGTCGTCATTATTCGGTTTTCCCTACATCTAAATTCCGCGATAAATATGTATACTAACCGGGTATCGGATTCAGTACCGTACACACATGATTAAATAATACTTTTGTTTGGTGTTACTTTTTGAATAATAAAATTTATCTGACGTTTGCTAAACGTTTATAAAGCGATTTCTGAGTCATTGTATTGTTTTACGGGCGTGACTTCCTTCCGAAATTTGTTGTAAAAGTCCATGTGCACAAGAAATATCTAACGGTATGTCGTGCAGTGGTCAAAGTGCCGATGTGCAAAAACGTTGTGTTGTGGCTGGCGAGTTGATTAATCGGTGCGAGTGCAAATCAGATCCCACGTTGAACGTTGAAGTAGCTACGTAGCTACGTTGAACGGCTTCTCGTAGATATAACTATAGAGACTTTTTTGTTCCTTTTTTGTCGTAAATTACTGTAGCTAGATACTGCAGTATGAAAATGTACTCGTACCTATGTACAGATATGTGTTTATGAATTAATGAAATCATTTTCGAATTTAGTAACCGTTTTATCTCTTTTCGACTTTTTGCCGTTTAGATTTCGAGGCACGGCCAACGTGGCCTCGCGCATAAAATCCACTGGCGAAGGTTAGCAATTTATATTAATAATTATTGTTATTTGAACCGCATTCTAATTTTTCGTTTTATTTCGTTTTTTTTCGTTTTTCGTTTTTAATACTTATTTTTTTGAACAAACTGGACTTGAACTATCGATGCAGTTAGAACAGTGTAGTGAAGACACTGCTGTTTCGTGACTCAGACACGCGTGCAGATCTTTTAGAAGGGATGTGGGGCTTTCTCCTGGTGGAGCGCGGTGAAATGGAAGTAAGGATCAGCCAGTGCCGCTCTACAGTAGTATATAAGCCTATACTACTGTAGAGCGGCACTGGATCAGCGTTTACGCCTGGCGGTTTACTTGCCTGACGCATTGCTACATGCCGGAATTTGTTAATACATTTTGTGAATAATAATATTGGTGCTGCAGAGAAAAGGACTGATGACCACGCACTGGTTGCTGACCAACAGCAGCCGGAAAACATTAAACACCGAACTACAGTCGGGTGCATATTTGTGCAACCTCCAGAGCACACAATGAAAGCTTACTGTTCATGTACAAAAACAGGGTGCATCCGCATGACACCACTTAAAATGATTCTGATTTAAACGTTAAAAAGATAAAATCGTTAGCGGTGTAGTTACGTATAGAAGTACTCAGTGCGTCTAATAATGCACATGCGAGCGATTGTCAAACATTGTCACCCGATTTCGAAAATGCCACAGTTCTACGTCAACTGCTGGAGCACCAATTGACTGGTTTTATAGGAATAAAACGCGCGTCGGCTAAGAATTTCCTTTGAGCCTGCCAAACACAAGCTGCCGGAGATAATTAGTTAGCGTGCCACTTCGTAAATATTAAATAAAACTGGAATCGAACAACGGAATAAAAATGTAGTGCTCTTTTCTAAAAATGTATGCTCAGCCATCAAGAATGTAGTGCTCTTTTGTGTGTGAGGCCAACCGCGGTGAATAACATTAGTTTTTGTGTTTTTTGCTGAATTCCATTAATACCAGTACTGTGCAGTTTTCCGGCCATCAGATGCCATCAGATGCCATCATGTGCCATCAGATGTTTTATTTACTACATTGAAAGGTCATGAGTAAAGCGATGGAATTGGAAAAGCATGGTTTTGGGAATCACAACATCCGAACTTTAACTAAATTCAATTACAGCAATTAGATCATGGAGTGTCTTAAAATGATACATAGTTTAGCACTGATTAACGTCCATACACAATACTGCCATTTTTGATAACAGCGCGAATCAGGCTGGCATTGCCCAACTGATTCAGGCTGGCATTGCCCAACTGATACACCAGATGCTCCCATCGTGGCGCCCGGATCAGCATTAAATCGGCACACTTCCCGGTCTCCAGGGATCCGTGCGAGTGCGACAGTCCCAGCGAAGCGGCCGCATTCAGCGTTGATGCAACGAGCACTGCCGAGAGGGACATGTGAAAGGTCACGGCCGCCAGATGCATCACAAGCGGCTGCAATCGACAACATTCTGGAACATGATAGATAATGTGTAAAAAATTTCTAAAATTGTAGAAAATCGTCCGCTGAACGTCGCCTCCAAATGATAAAGTTTAAATTTCAAACAGCTTGAAAATAATATCTTGGGCCATAGAACGTCCATGTAATAATTAATTAAAATATTATATTATCATAGTTATAATAATGTCTCAGTATTAGACCAGTACTAAGAACGAACGAGTAGTTGCTAAGAACGAAAAAAAAACAACACAAAAAACAGAAACGTAAGAAATAAAAATTTGAAAAACATAAAAAGAATGAAAAAATTGAAACATACAAAACAGAAAATTAGGAAAAAACATTCAGAAAATAGAGAAAAACTTCAGAAAAATAAACAAGCATAAGAAATGAAAAAATAAAATAGCAAAGTAACATAAAAAATAACATTTCATCAATATAACAAATTTAAAAGAAAAAAGTATTACATATATGAATAATGTGATTATAACCAGAAATTACGCCAGGCTACTTTAGCTTCCGGGTAAGCGTCAAGGACAGCAGTGACCGTAAAATTATGTAATTTTTTTACCAAAACGTACCAAGGATGTGCAGTAGGCGTTGGGATTGAAATCCGTGCCCAGTGCAACGGGGACGCCGGCGTCGATCATGGCGCGAACGGGCGGCGGCACCAGACGCATGAGGAAGGCGGTGGTGGGCAGCAGAACGGCCACGCAGTTGGCGTCGGTCATGCGCTGCATGGCGGCCTCGCTGATGTGCTCCAGGTGGGAAATGGCCCGCGCACCCACTGCCACGCCTATCTGCGACAACCAGAAAAGTTTATCGATTTATTTAACCTGGCTAATTGTCAGCGGAGGGCCGTGAGGCACCGTTTATACTATGAAGTATGAACTAATTAATTTTAATTTAACGGTTAACGGTTAATTCGTCCGTAAATTATTGTGTTTCTGATTGGTTGCGTAGCTTAGTGGCTTTATGCGCACGTTTTTCCCCGTTTAATGAAAAGCCGGTATCGTACATGTTTTTTATATGCAGTAGTATCAAGTGCGCACGCTGCAGCTGTCTGGCAGTGTTTTTCTTGTTGTGAACCGCATTTGCGTAGTTTTTTTTCCGGTAAGCTCATATTCCAAGTTCTGTCTACCGGTACGTAGTAAACAATATTTCCTTAAATTTTCGTTAAGTTGTTTTCTGTTTTTGTTTTAATTTTGTGAATTTAAAATTTAATAACGGTTTGAATTCAAATGCATTTTAACTGGTTTTTAATTTTAAATCCGATTCGATTCGCATGAAAAGAGATCAATCAAAAGCATCATGATGCTACCCACTGACACAGACCTAATTGCATTATTATTTAACTAACTAATTACTATTAAATAATGTTGCAGTCTTTTTATAATTTTACTACCTTTTTATTATTAATTGAAAAACTACTATTAATTAACGTTGTTTCTTATCTTTGTTCTGTTCCTCATTCAGCTACCTTACTGCACGATCCGACCGGTTATCATCCGAAACCGTAAAAGGTATACCCAAACGGCCAAGGTACTACGATGGCAGTACCTTGGCCGTTTGGGCCAATGTACTGCCATCGTAGTACACTGGCCCAAACTTCGTGCTGTCCAAAAACTAAAGACCAACAGATCCAATGTAGTAAGAATTAAGCGTAAAGAAAAATAAAATTACGGGGCTTCATTGTGGTTACATTTTTTACATTTCCATTTCCATTCACATTACATTGACATCTAAAATGCATTTACTTCACATTCACGTTACTTTTACATTTTTGCACTTAAAAGTAAAAACGAAATCAAACTGCAATTTTGGTAAAAACTATTGTGATTTCATGAATAAAAAGTGGTCGGAATAAATGCAAATTATCATGACGGGAACTGTGAGAGCGATGCCGTTGGCCGGTCAATTTTTAATACGAGTAATTTAAATTATCATTAAAAACCGTTCGAAAAATTTCCGTACAAATTAATTACCAAATTTAATTCAATCACAGCACTGATTACAATACAACTACTGCAATACTTTAACAGGCCGTTACGCGCAATTTCGAGACTGCATTGGAGAATTTTCTGTACAAAAAGGAAAATACCCAACAACAAGCAGCGTTACCTCGGTGCCGCCCAAATACGAGAGCTCTTCCGCATGAAAATTTCCGTGAAAATCCAAGGAGCGCGCCTTCTCCAGAATACGCCGCGTTTAAGTTCCACCGAGAAGACGTTTTTCTCACAGAAAATATCCACATTGTCAATGGACAGTTCGCCCTGGTTGACCATGCGTCGCAACTCGGGCAGATCATGATTGACAATGTCCTCGGTGACGGCATCCGGCGTACTTCCTCTGAAAATTCCAGTTAAAACGTTATACAAATTTTAAATTAGAAACTTCCAGTTTTAATTCATGCAGCGTGAATGTTGCAGTTGTTAATGTTTAGTTTCATGGATTGCTTTGTAAAATGCGAAGCGCACTTTGGGACAGCACGAGCGCCGCAGTACGTGATGGATAAGGTCATGGGGATTTCAGCTTTGACACGCTGTAGTACGCGCAGCAGTTTGACTTCGCTGGCGAAATCCAATACGTAGCCACTCTTCACTCTTCACTGCAGGGACCGGGAGGACCTTTATGCCGCCGTACTGGTCGCTGGGTTTTCAGATCAGGCGTTGGGGTATGGAATCGGCTGAACAAACCCGGCAGCTGGCACAGCGGAATCTCCCTGAGCACATCCCGTTCGATATGGTGTTCGTCGGCATCGACTGTATGCTTTAACTAGCTTTATTTTTCCGTTAAGAGTAGAAACATTTTTTACGGTGCAGAAATGTTTAGATATGGACGAGCGTCAGCCCTTCACGCAGAACAAAACAGGGCAAGATTTCCACGCACTAACCACGGAAATGTTGGAAAGATCGGGAATTCATTACGGTGGCGTTGTTAATGTAAGTTTCCACAATCACGCCTTGGAAGTTAAGCGAGACAGCTTCGGAAGAATGCAGATACGATGGAGTTTTTATTCGATAGTTTCCGTCGGTCCATGCCGATGCCAACGGCACCGCAGCTGTCGCTTACACCACCGCCCAGGAAAAGGGCATTCTCGTCAAGTGACCACAGCGTAGTGTGGCCTGGGCGCAGTCCAACAATCGGCTAAGCGTTGGAGATGATTCGGTGCTCTTGGGAAAGGTGACTTCTTACACATTTTTTCTAGCAAAATAACAGAAAGAACATGTTTAAGTGGCTTTATAAATCAAACATTTATAATTTATATGTAAAATACAATAAATCATTGATTTTCATACAAAACAAATAAATCATTTGTGTATATTAAAGTGATACGAAATATGCGCCCTACAAACCGAGCGCTCCAATATCCGGACGGAAAAAATCTGATCGCTTTATTTTTTTATACGGTAATTTTTCTTTTTACTTAACTTCTTTTTAGTTGTTTGACCAAAATGTAAATCTGGTAGAGAGTTCTATGATTTTCT